AGAGAGAGAGAGAGAGAGAGAGAGAGAGAGAGAGAGAGAGAGAGAGAGAGAGAGAGAGAGAGAGAGAGAGAGTCTCCTTTTGGGGGGGAAGTGGTAATTTGCCAAATACCCCTTTAAGTTGAGACATATGTCAAAATGTCCCTAAAAGATGTTGACATAGTGGAATGGCCTTTTGGGCTGACATGTTTGTCTTATGCCCCTACCAGGCGGGTGTGCAAATCCGATTGGCCTTTTGCAATTGCACCTACGAGAAGTTGGCAACTGCTGGGCCATTTTGCAAAGTTGGGCAGCTTCCGGTAGGGGTACATTGCAAAGATGGTATCCAACTGATGGCTCCGGTGTTTCGCAAAATGTTTTTGTCATCGTCCTTCGCCGCAGCGTAGCTGCGGCAGGTCCACTTGTTGTTGTAAATGACATGACAAATTGTCTAAAAATTTAGGCCTCCGTTAACCTGCTCTCACCGGGCAAATTTAGGCCTCCGTTAAGCCTCCTACTAGGGCTTCGCGTAGTTATTTGATTGCCATGACCAGTAGTTTCATCGCACAAAGCGCTAGTGGGAATACATCCCTCCTTGGTCCTGTGTGAACCCTTATAAGGCTGCTTCAAAGTTGAACCTCTCGTCATGGAGTTCAGCTCCCTCCCTTTCAAATTTTCAAATTCATCTAGAGTTTAAACTCCATAACGCCAATCTTACACTCTATTACTAAACCCTAACCCTAACCCTAACCCTAAACCCACAACCCGAACCCTAATACTAAACCCTAAACCCAAAACCTTAACCGTTAGACTAAACCCTAACCCTAACTCTTAACCCAAAGATGCATACTAAACCCTAAACCCTAAACCCTAACCCTAACCCTAATCCTAACTGAAAACCCTAACCCTTAACCCTAAAACTCAAGCATGAAGAGGTTAAACCGTTGAACACACACTTAATTTACAGTGGAAGAAAGTGTGAGGAAAGGGAGATGGAGTGGAACAGGGGTGAGTGTTGACAGGTAGAGAACGAAGGGATAGACAAGACGAGGTGAAGCCATCAACCAGAACACTTGAGCATCTTTTTCTCCGTGGTTGGTATTGTCCACCCCCTGACTACCAAGGCATCATGGGGTCGAGGCCTACCTGTGGCTGCCTGGTGATCTTGTCCGTTATGCTGAACTCGACTTCGGTCGAGGCCAAGGGTGAGGGCACGACTCACTGATGGTTTAATCCTCTTTTGGGCGATGCTCTAGCTAAACGCATGTCCGCCACGGTTCGTGATCCATGGTGTGTGAGAGACTCCCGTGTGAGTGATGCTCTTGTGTGATGCTTTTGTGTGTTTTTTTTATCGAGTGCCAATCTTCCCCCAAACATAAAGCATGGCCTGACAATTGCCCTAAAATAAAGCCTAGAGAATGACCATACATATAGTACGCACCAATGCAGCACCATGTAGAAAATAATTTTAAATAACCCATGGCCCATGGGTTATTTTTGGGGCCAACTGTCAGGCACCAAACATAACCCTCAGGCCCCGACCATGACGGCACTTGTCAGGCTTAGAGTATAACCCATGGGTGGGTTATGTTTTCTCTAAGCCTGACCCTCACAATTTCCCTCATGGGTTATGTTTGGGGGAAAACTGTACATAAAATAATTGTTTGAGCACGGCTCTTGCGGACTAGACGTAAGACATGGCCTGACAATTGGCTTAAGTATTATAGTTTAGAGAATGACCATACATAGTATAATATAGTAGACTCTATACTAGAGCCTATAGTAGTCTATGCTATTCAGAAAAATAAAATAAAATTCCATGGTCCCATGGGTTATTTTGGAGGGCAATTGTCAGGCCCCAAACATAACCCATTAGCGCAATTGTCTGGCTTAGAGAATAACACATGCATGGGTTATGTTTTCTCTAAGACTCGCCCTCACAATTGCCCTTCACGGTTATGTTTCGGGGAAACCTGTACGTAAAATAATTGTTCGAGCATGGCTCTTGCGGACTAGTGCAGTCCGTTTAGGTGAGTAAATTGAAACCAAGAAAGAGCAATTCCTGTTTACATTGTTTTCCAAGGACTCTTCGCATAACTTCAATTTTTTTAGGTGAGCAAATTGACATGAAGAAAGAGCATATCCCCTGTTTTCGAGGACTCTTCTCATAACTTAAAAATTTTCCCGTCTCATGATTGCTCTCGTCTCCTGTCCTGGTCTTCTTCTCTCCTCTCTCCCTGGTTGCCAACCGTGTGTCTTTTTCTTCTTTTTTTCATTTTTTTTCATTCTTTTTTTTAATTTATTTTTTATTTTTTCTTCTTATTTTGATTTTTTTTCCCATTGTTTCAATTTTTTTTCCATCTTTTTTTTTTCTTTTTTTTCCATCTTTTTTTTCCATCTTTTTTTTTCCATCTTTTTTTCTGTTTTTTTTTTTTCATGTTGCAGAATGTCAGTTTCTCTGTCGACTTCTCACATCCGATCGAGCTAGGGCTGGCTGCATTCCTGCAATCAACAGCATCCATCGACTGTCTGAAACGAGGAGGGTGAGTCACTGGATGATTGGGAAAGGAAAAGAAAGTGAAAAAAAAAAGAAAAAAAAAAGGTGGTCTACTTTTTTACAAATAGTCGTTAGTGCCATTTAAAAATAACGGGAGCAAACATGGATGATGGAGTACGATACCAGAAATAGAAGAAAGAAAAGAAAACTGGTCAGATTTTAATATGTTACAATTTTCAGTTCTCTGGTTTCCAAATTGAACACTACATTGTCTGCTGCATACACTCCAGTTATTAAGGCAGCATAATGCCAGGAATTCACAGACTGCACATCAAGAACACGCAGTACAGCACACTGGCAAAGGCCATAGACGCTGTGTCATCAAAGCATCATCCTTATAAAAAAACAGACTCACGTTAACACGTGGCTGTTAACAGCGGTCACACTTGAAGCTCTTAGATGAGTGATGCATGATGCGATACACCCGTCGTTTTGTTGACGACCAGACCGCTATCCTTCGTCCCTACGGTCCACCATCCTAGTCGCATCGTCACCACTCGGCGAAAGAGGAATGTGTCTGTCAGCGACAATCACTATATCCTATTGTCAAGGAAATTCTTTTCCTGCCTTGATGCCAGGCCGTCGGTAAAACAACAACACACTTGGCCCAAAAAAAATCAGACAGCGCTCGAATCCCCCAAAACCCGGAAAACAATAAAAAGGAAAACTGGACTGGTTGCACGCGTAGGTCACTGGTTCGAGGCCAAGTGGCCTGGAGGCAAGTAGATACTGGTCTAAAGGGCAGACCCTGCCAGCATAAAAAAAAAAAAAAAAAAAAAAAAAAAAAAAAAAAAAAAAAAAAAAAAAAAAAACAAAGAAAGAAAGACGCACACTCGTCAATGGAGCATTGGAAAAACGTCCAATTTGAAACCAAAACAACAGACAAAGGATCTCTCCATCCCTTCATCCCTCGTCCACCCCGAAAAACAAACACCCCATCCCTCATCCTACGCAAAGAACACCCATCCCTCATCCAACCTGATAAACGACCATCACTCGTCCGCCCCCCAAACCACACCCATCCCTTTGCGTGCTGAACCTGATGTTGGTTATTCGTCTGTGTTTGCTCGCCCGGGTTTGATTACCATGCCCTGTGTTTGGACTTTGAAGTTTGAAGTCCTTAACCCCCCCAATTTAACCCAGGTTCCCGCTTTTTGACAAGTGGGTTAATGAACTTAATGTATGTGAACGGGATGCATGGGACCCGGTTGAGACAACAACCGAGTGTCCAAGTGCGCTTCCGAGTGAGCACAGTTGTGCGCCACGTGCTTGTAAAAGCTTTCGAGCACTTCTCCTCAATCTCTATCTTTTAACGTTCTTAGTACTTTTTAAGTACCTTCAGGACTTTATACGTTTTAATGAGCGAGTGATCATACCCTGGTCGATAAAAACAAAGGGAAAAAAAAAAAAAAAAAGACGATCCTACCGTAGCCAGCCATAGCCAAGATGTGGACACGGACAGCGCCCTGTCAATTTTCCTACCCAGTTTCGGTTATGGGGTTGATGCCCTGGGCCTACGTTTTGGGGGAAACTATAGAAGAAGATTCTAGTTCGGGGGGGGGGGGGGGGGGGGGGGGAGGACAAAAAACAAAAACGAAAGATTCTAGTTCCGACCTGGAATGTAAACAAATGTTCCTAAGAAACTTGTTATAGGGCCTCGCCACACGGCACAGGAAACGAAAACAAAACGAGTGCATCTGCCCACCGAAGGTGGCAAAATAGTAAAATACACTTGTTACTATTTATAGCAAACCGGTGAACCTGGCCACTTCCTTGGGGAGATGCACTCGTTTCGTTTTTCATTTCGTGCGCCGTGTGGCGACGCCCTTAGCGCCGTGTGTCCTTGTGCAACTCTCCAGCCACAAATCCAGTGGTCAGTGTAAGGCTGTGCATCACACTATTTACTCGTTACTTACTATTTATATAGCAAACCGGTGAACCTGGCCATCGAAGGCTGTTTCAAGGATGAACCTGGCCATCGATGCCTGCACGAGTACGGGAGGGAGTACATAGACAGGCACATAATGTTATGCACACGTTTGGAGAAGGAGGGCGGGTGCTGAGCGGTCTATGAATATTCTTCGAAAAGACGAGCTTTTTTGTCAAACGGGAAAAGTTGACCAACATGACCCATGTGATACGTAGCGCGCGTTACGATATTCCTTTTTTTAGCTTCTTCTTCTTCTTCTTTCTCTTTTTTTTTTGTGAAAATTTTGTGAAAAAAAAAAGCACAGCAACTTCATTATAAAAGTTGGAAACCGGGCCCAGGGTCTCTTTCATGTATGACCCGTTCCACGCCTCCTTCAATTATGGCAGAAGAAATCTGAGACAGCCGCATTGATTGCTTTTTTTTTTAATGAATTTTATAATATCATATTAATATGTATATTTAAATATTATTTGTTAAATTTTATTTATAATTAAAAAAAAGGGTGACGATCTTGAGTTATCAACTTATCATCTGTTTGAAACTCTGAACTTTGAAGTTTGAACTGGCTGGACCCAGGTAAATTACTAAATTAGTAAATTTAACTAAAGAACTCAATTCAGAGTTTCAGAGTTATTTTTCATTCCTCTAATTACTAATTACTAATTACGAAAATCACTAATTACTAATTAGTAATTCCTGCAAACGCAGCACTTTTTAGGAATTTTAATTTTGAACTCAGGACCGTACTGTAGTTAAACAGTTCATGGGTGTGTACCAACTGAGGCAGGCCAGTAGTAGGTATTTCTGTTTTTGTTTGTATTTTTTGTTTTACCTGCAAAGTTGCAAACGCATCATTTTTGGGCGAAATCACAGTTCAGTTCCAAGTCCCAAGTTCGAAGACGCGGGTATCTGTATTCCCTGGGTCTCAAAATCCTGAAGAATCCGAACCCATTGTAGCATGAAGCTCTGCCTGCCAATGGCATCTCTAATTCACTTGTCGTAAGCAATGTGTGGATTAACTGCAGGGGGTTCATGGAGCCGACAACCGGCGGAGAGGAGGCCATGGGAGAAGGACAAAGGGGGGTTAGCAGGTCGACGAGCGAGAGTGTGTGTCAGACGTCATTCTCCGAAGACGAGGAGGGCGGCAGCGAGTGTGCAGCACAGGCAAGCAGCATGATGGTACGTGGGTCCATAATGTACACTCCTCGTCATCAGAGAACCAGCATAGGCATGATGGTACGTGGGTTTATGATGGCACGTGAGTCCGTAATGTACGTGGGTCCATGATGGTACGTGGGTCTATAATGTACGTCTGCCGCCCTCCTCGTCTTCGGAGAACCAGCATAGGCATGATGGTACGGGGGGGTCCAAAATGTATCTAAATTTCAAAATTTTCTGAATTGAATGATTCAAAAATTCCTCAGACTCGATCCTCGGCCAGACAGAAGGAAGCGTGAGAGTGGAAAGCGTGTATTTCATCTTTGACGTGCCGGGGGAATAGGAACCGGACTGATGCTCCCCAGAATGGACAAGGAGCCAGGACCATAAGGACCTGTTGAACCCAAAAAAAAAAAAAAAAAAAAAAAAAAACTCAAGAGACAAAGTAGCCTCAGCTTCTTATCTTTGTTGCTCACTTCAAAGCAAATTTGACAGGTTCAGAGTCTTCAGACAGTAGGCCTGAGAGGAGAGGTAGAGGAAAGGCAAGCTGACAGCCAATGCTCCGGTACCTAAGTAATCAATCAATGGTGGTGAGGGGTCCTTCGGCCAGATGGAAGGATGAGTGAGGGTGTACATGATGTAACACATCGTTGAAGTTCATTCTGACTTGCCGGTGGAAAAGGAACCGGACTGACACTCCCCAGAATGGACATGGAGCCAGGACCATAAGGAGCTGTTTTTTTAATTAAAATTTAAAAATGTATATATATTATATGAATTTATATATAAAATAAAAATAAAAAATTCAAGAATTCGATCAAATTTTCAATCATTTTTCAATTATAGAAAATGAAAGCACATCATGTGAGGCTTTACTGAGTTTAATATTCTCGTGGAGGAGGACATAATGTGCAAAAAAACAAATGCAAAAAATAAAAAACTGTCCTCTCAGGCTCAGCAATGATCACTCTGATGGCAAAATTTTTCATCAAATACTGTCCCGAATTGGAACGCGACAGTCCCTCGTTAATATGCCAAACTTGATTGATGCTGAGTAACTTGATTGCAAAATCAACATCCTAGGCTGGCATCAGAAATCTGAAATACTGATACCCATCTTTACTGTCTTCGAGAACTGCATGACACCCCACCCAAAAAAATATATAAAAAATGTAAAAAAAATTGCATGACAAGTTGACACAGTCAGAGGTTTCGAACAATACGCAGAAGATTCGCATGTAGGTGGTTCAGTGACATACACACAAAAAAGAGGACGTGCACAGTCCATCCGCCTGTTGGAAAATGATCAAAGAAAAGGAGAGAGCTGGGGGGGAGGAGAGGGGGGGAGGGAGCGGGGGGAGGGCATAAGCGAAGTGGGAGATGGTGATATGATGTCTCCAGGCTGTCTCATCCTGATGCTGGTGCTGAAGCTTCTGCTCTCCATTCAGGTTCTCGATTGGGGCGTGCTTATTCTGCATGATTGAAACGGTTTTCACCTTTTAGCAGTAGCAGATGCAGTACCCAGGGTTCGATCCCTAGACCTCACCCTACCTATGTACAGTATCTGTATAGACCCCGAGAATTGAACCTGTGACCTGTGTATTYGTAGACAGTTGGTAGGTCTGTCGTAGGTCCATAGGCAGCAGGGGTTCGATCTGTAGGTCTATAGCGTAGAAGTCTTAGTGAGTTCCGAAAGCTTAGCTGTAGACCTTCTAGAAGGTAGGCAAGTGGGCAAGTGGTCAAGTGGCGAGGCAAGTGGTGGACTGAACCGCAGTGCAACAGCAGTACAACGGCAGTAGGATAGCGGTGAGTCCACAGTCAATCAGCGGAAGGTCCAGTCAGTCCCAGTCCGGTCCAGCAAGTACCACGGGGAGACTGTGAGCACCAAGGGCCGATGGCAAGGGGAAGACCAACGAGTTTCTGAAGTATAAATCAAGAGGCAGCGCCCAGCCATTCATTCATTCCTGCGTGAGCCATGCGGAAGCGCTGCCACAGCGGCTTGTGCAAGGAGGTCTGCGGATGAGCCCGGAGGACGCAGTGGGCAAGAGAGAGGGAGTTAGCATAGCGATAAGTTAGATGCAGCGATAGCTGCCATAGCTATAGTTAGTAGTGAGTGTGTGTGTGTGTTCGAGTGTCAGAGTGATGCGTGTGGGATATTCAGGGTGATCCAGTGTATGTGAACAGTGAGATGGTTGGGCGCTGAAGTCGCCATAGCCAATTGAGAGTGAACTCGTATCTGAAAGCCATATCTCTGAGTTTTGAGTGGGCGCATGTCGCCAGTATGCTGCGTTTCTGTTTACATGCATGAAAAGTGTGTTTGAGAACGAGTCTGATTGCATGATGGTTGTTTGTGTTCTGGTTCCTGCATCTAGCTCTGGTCCTTGTCCTTCTGGTTCTGGCCCTGGTTCTTCTGGTACTACCTTAGAGATGTTTTTTTCCTGGTCGTGGGACTGGTTGTGGGACTGGTTGTGGGACTGGTTGTGGGACTGGTTGTAGGTCTGGTTGTGGGTGTGGTTGTGGCCGTGAATCTGCCTCCGGTACTTATGGCTCTGGGACTGAATCTGTTCTATTTTTGGCTCCGCTCCTGAGTCTGGTTCTGGGCCTGCGTCGGCTTCTGGTACTTGTTCTTCTGGTTACGTCTCTGGTCCTTCTGGTTCTTCTGGTCCTTCTGGTTCTTCTGGTTCTTCTGGTTCTAGTCCTGATTTCTGGTTCTGGGTCTTGGTTTGGTCCTGCTTCTCGTATGGGTTCTGGGCCCGAATATGCCTCTGGTCCTTCTGGCTCTGGGCGTAGGTCTGTTTTGATTTGGGTTCTGACGTTGCTTCTGGGCCTGAGTCCACTTGTTTTCTTTTCTTTTCTATTTTTTCTTGGGACCATTTCTCGGTCTTTGTGTGCCATTCTTGAGCAGGGGCCATGCTAATCTTCTCTGCATCATTCCAATTTTTGCCTGAGTTGGCTTCTGGTACTGGGTCTTCTGGTTCTGTGCAGGTATGATTCTGGTTTTGAATCTGCGCCTGGGTCTGCTCCTGATGCTGCGCTTGATTCTAGTCCTAGTTCTTCTGCTTTTGCACCTGGTTCTGTTTCCGGACCTGGTTCTGGTTTCGGACCTGGGTCTGGTTTTCGTTTTGGTTCTGGGCATGGTCTGGTTCTGGCCCTCCGACTCTGATTCCAGGTTTGGTTCCAGCTCAGGTCTGCTTCGTGTCTAGGGGCTCTACCTGTTTATCACCCTCACTCAGACTGACACCTTTTTTGGTGTCTTGCGCTCTGTCTGCAGTGCAAGCCAGTCTCAGCAAATGGAGAAAACAGAATCGTTGACGATCACAGCTACGTCATGACAGGTGGTGCAGATCCTAATCAGAGTCATCCATCAGCAGATTCCAGCTCAAACGACAAAGGGGAAGCCAGAGAAGATGGGGACGAGAGGGAGGGATTTCGGAGCCATGACGGCCACGGCGGCCAGTTCCGAGTCATGTCTGCGGCTGCGGGTCCTCAGACCGTCCACGATCAGAGTCATGCTGAGACGAAAAGCACAGGTGCATCATCAGTAACATCAACAGAAAGTTTTTTTTTTTCGCTTTTTTTTTAAAATCAAATGGGTAACAGACTAACAGTTAAAAAGTTACCTTTTTACCAGTTTAAAAGTTTTTACTATTTACTATTTAGCTCGGCTACCAGAGTAGCACGGGATCACCTGCACGGCCGGGCCAAAAAAAAAAAAAAAAAAAAAAAAACCGTTTTTTTAATTTTANTTGGTAACATCTCGCCAAGCCCTTAGCCTACCCCTTACCCTATGGATGTGCACATACCCCTTGGTACTTGCTGAGTACAGTCTGTCTGTCTATTCTTTCTGCATTGAGTCTCTTCTATCCTAGGTCATAGTACTCTGTGGATGAAGGATAGGGCTTGGATGACGAAACCCTAATCTGACCTTGTAGGGCTAAGACTGTGGCTGATCCAACTTTCCAGGGGGGCATAACCCTCCCAAGGACCGGTGCTGACCGGCTGGAAACGGTTGGTAGGACTCAGTGGGCCTGAACGGCAGTTAGGGCTGACACACCAGGCAATCTTTAAGTGTTGAGGGCCTATTTGAACCACTCCCCTACCGGACCAAGTAAGGCTGAGGATCTGTGTCGGACGACTCGACTGTCCAGGAGGTCAAACCCTCCCAAGGACCGGTACAGACCGGTGGGCTGCTCGGTGTGGCACAGTAGGCCGGAAAGGCTGAGTTGTGGGCTGAAAGCACAGGCAGAACCAAGCTGATCACGTCGTCCTGTCTGCGACGTTAAATAATTCTTGAGGTTACGGGGGATCTCCTTAAATGCCTCCTGATCAGCCACTGGTTCAGTAGTGACAGCCATAGCATAGGTCTAGGCTAGAGACCATAGTTGACAGGGTCCTTGTCAGGATTCTGTAAGTCTTAGATTGAGTCTATAGGTTTGTCAGTCAGGGGTCAGAGTCTACGTGGTGAGGTCTGGAACCACTAACCCGGTTGTACACTTATCACCATGGTTGGGACCCGTAGTGGGTTAGGGACTAGCCCCTAATAGTAAGGAGCAGCAAGAAAAGATGGCCACCTTAGTCCAAGAGAATAGGGAGAGGAAAGAACGTGAGAAACAAGCGAAGCTACAGACTATTGCAGACGAGCAGGCGGCGAAGATGAAGAGGTTGGAGGAGGAGATGAAGAGAGTACAACAAGAGGAGGAAGAAAGAAGAAAAGTTGCTGAAGCAGAAGCGRCAKCAGAAGAAGAGAAAGAGAGAATGAGAATTGAGAGTGGAGAAGGGAGCAGTGGTGGCACGATGAAGTGGGAGACAAATACTGAGCTGGAGAAGAAGATCAGTGAGTGGGTCGCTAATTTATCGTTGGGGGAAGACGAGGAGGCGGAGTCATATGTTACTAAGGATGAGAAGGCTGCGCTGGCCGCTGAGCTAGCAGCCATGACGGACCCGATGGAACGAAGAGAGAGGGAAGACGAGCACAAGTTAGCATGGAAGCTGAGAATGAAGAGGGAGAAGAAGAGGAGGAGAGAGGAAGTGAATAAGATGATCGCAGAAATGGCAAAGGTGCAGGAGTGTAGAGCGGAGGTGCTGGCCCAGCCAGATGATAAGGCCAAGTGGGACAAGGTACTGGGCTACCTAGAGGTGTTGAGCAAGGCCTGGATGGAGGAGCGCCAGGCAAGCTGGAGCCAAGATGTAGCGTTGAGTGCCATGCGGTCCAGTTTCAGGGATTTTGCGCGCGAAATCGTCACCCACATTGGGGGCGAAGTCAAGCAGTTGAGGGACAATGTAGGGAAGTTTTGTGAGGGCGCCATTCAGGGTGCCAAAGTTGTAGCCGCTGTAGAGGGAGAGGCCAGACCCCGTAAGGACCCAGTGAAACTTAAGTTCCCAGATGCGTACGGGGGAAAGAAGGAAGAAAACTTTGACAACTGGGAAGCCAGTGTCAATAGTTATATTTACTTGCAACATATCCTAACAGAGGAACAAGTCCTCGTGGCCTTCCAGGCCCTCAAAGATGAAGCGGCTAGTTTCACCAGGTCTCTTGCGCGTACAGCCAGTTGTGAAAACAACCTGGTTGCATATTCCAAAGTCACCCCTCTTTCCCAAGTCCTCAAGCTCCTCAAGGAGCGTTTCGCTGACCCAACGCGAGGCATTAGAGGCTCTGATAAGCTGCAAACGATCCACTCACGGCAGTGGAGGAGTGCCAAGGCACTCAAGGGTACCATGGACGACTTAGTGGCCGTTCCGGACCATGGGGTCACTGAGACCCAGTTGGTCCGATTGTTTTATCGTGCCATACCAGAGGCCCTGCGTGGGCATTTCTTTGACAGGTCTCAATAGGCCAGCATCACATATGATGCATTGAGTAGGAAAGTCGTCCTGTATGAGTCGAAGTCCATGCCAGTTACCACCTTCTGGCACAAGGACCTGGAGAAGGGGAAAGGGTGGAAAGGACGTACCATTTTTGGCCAAGTCAAGGCCAAGGATCATATGATCCTTACTTTAGAGGAAGGTGGTACTGATGAGGTCCCATACAGTTAGATAGAGTGGGGCCTCGAGGATGATGGCAGTAGTGTGGGGCAAGGGAGGTCCTATGCTGCTGTCGCGGCTGGAGGGAAGCCGCAAGGTAGAGGAGGAGGCCAGGGCCAAAGGGGCCAGGCCAAGGGAGGCCAGGGGCCGGGCGCACAGGGGGTTGGCGGACAAGGAAACCGCCAAGCGGGAGGTAGGGGTCAAGGTCCCCCGTTAAATCGCCAGGGTAATCGGTCCCCACAGCGAGGAGGTGGAAGGGCACCTCAAGGAGGATGGCACCCAGGCTTGCCACCAGGCAAGCCCTGGGAAGACTTGGGCTTGGACCAACGATTATGGCAGGAACGCGTGAACATGGGCCAGTGCGTATTCTGTGGTGACCCGGCGCACGTAATTAAATTTTGTCCA